AGCCTCTACTACCGATGATCTTTTAAACTTGTAGACAAAAAAGCTACGAAAAAGCGCTTATTGCCTTAAGAATTTACAATTTACGTATCTCGACGATGTTATCTCTAACGGATTTTGTTGTACACCCTACCAAAAAATGTAATCATCTATTACAGATTTGCATTAAAAGTATGCAGAATTTGTAATGTTTCTCCGCATGAACAGATTATGTAATGAGGTCGTCGAAAGGTTTTTTAAAGAATTTTGTAATTTTTATGTTACTATATTCTCGAACAAAGATTGTTTCCCAAAATCCCGATTTTTTACAAAAAATATTCATTCTGGAAAAACTTACAACACTACCCCCACCACATACAGAATTTCTTACTCCACCCAAGCTGACATATATTCCAAGAGAATTGTAATAAGAATTCCTCGTTAATTTGAATATAGAATTCTAAGGCGCTCTTATGAGAATAGTTTCAAAGGAATCGCAGAAACCAAAGAAATCCAAGGAGAATATCAAATTGCTTCTGAGCGTATTCATATACCCCGGACAGACTATGGGTTATATCACGTAATATAGGCTGTCTTACAATGAGCACTCATACATAGGATTTCCAGTGAAAACTAGATGTATGAGTGCTCATTGCAAGCCAGCCTATATTACATGATATAAGCCATAGTCTGTCCGGGATATAAGAGAGAATTCTTTGGTAATATAAAAAAAATGCCCTTAGAATTCCATGGGAGAATAATAAAGAAATTATGTTGAGAATTCCTAGCAATACAAAGAAATACTTAGAAAATGCTGAGCAGCCTTACAGAATTTACAAGAAATGTTCACAGCTGAATTCCACGATAGTTGATCGTAGAATTCCACAGCTATCCTAAAGATAGGTCCAAAAGATTATTAAAGACAATCAATAGAATTTGAATGATTCAAAATTGAATAAGAATTGTAGCGTGATTTCCAATAGTTTTCGGGAGAAAATTCCTTCGCATTTCAAGTTTAATACTTATCGCATTTTAGCTTATTGCGTGCTCTCAACTTAGTGTTCTAGATGCACTTCCACAGCTATTAATTGAGAGCTTGCGATGCCTGTACCATTTTTTCATTAGTATAATTGTGTGGCAAGTACAATCATACTCTATGCCCAAGTCGAGAAATTTTCGAACTCGAAAAATTCCTAGACCAGACCGGGAATCGAACCCAGCCACCTCCAGCATGGTCTTTCTTTGTAGCTACGCCGCCTTTCCTAACTGAGCAAAGGTGAACATTCCAGGCCTTTATTATTTTAACCTTGGTAAATTTGGATCTGCACACTTAGTTTTTTTCTACCGAGCTCGACTGTGCAAATCCCGGCAAAAAAAGTTTTACTGAGATCTCAGCAAACATTCCATTTATGTGCTGGGATTCACACAGCGAAAAATTCTGAATTTTAATTGTGATGGAAAGATACATTCACGTAAACTTGTATTTCATTTCACGCAAACATGCAACTTGTAAGCAATGTTGTTTACAAAGATGAGCATTTGTATACAATAATTGCATCATTTCATGAAATGTCTCAGAACATTACACGACTTATAATGTAAACTTATATGATATGTGACGCTCCATTTATGTGCATCGTATTGAACAGAAATTTACACTATTTTTTCGAACTGTGCAGCTAAGCATTATCCGAGACTCAGCAATCAAATGTCACTTTTGCTGACATCTCAGAGAAACTTATAGCGAATTTGTTTATTATCAGTGCGAAACCGAATTTTTTGTCAGTGCGAATTTCAACCTGAGGTAGGTTTTTAATACCCCGTTCACATTACAGCGTATATCACGTTATATACGCTGTCTTGCAATGAGCAGTCAGACATCTAGTTTTCACTGGAAATCCTATGTATGAGTGCTCATTGCAAGACAGCCTATATTACGTGATATAGGCTGTAATGTGAACGGGGTATAAAACAAAGGATCAAACTGACGTTTGTCAGAAAACAAGCAAACCCGATCTTGATACCCGATACAGGATGGTACTGAATAATAAACAAATTCGCTATTATTTTTGCCGAGATTTGCACAGCCGAGCTAGGTAGAAAAAACTAAGTGTGTGGATACGTACTAAGAACTGCCCTTTGCGCCCTTGTAGGAAATAAAGAAAAGAAATGAGGGATGATTCAAAGGAAATTCTTGAACACTTGAAAAGGTAATTTAAAACGAAAAATTCAAAATTACCATCTCAAATAAACCTCATTCTGAGACTTGACATTTTTGACATGTTGTACATGAAAAAGAAAAATAAATTAAAAAACAATGAGAAGAAGAATCTTTCACGATTCTGAGACATTTCATGCTTTCAAAATTCTGAGACAATCTATAACATTCACAAATTGAAGAGTGATGTAAATAAATCCTAAACTTCAAAAAATGTCTTAAGTATCAGAATGCTGATCTTGGACAATTCGCACTCTAGGATTTTTTTTTCGAGAAATCAGAATAAGAAAATAAATTATATAGGTACTGCGTTTAGCTTAAATTAAGAGACCCAGACGTGTTGAAATATTAAGGATTCTCTACCCTGACGATCGATTTCACCGATGAGAAATAGGACGTCAAGCTCTTGGATTGTCAAAGGCGCAGCATACCCTCACTACGATTCTACCAGTATGGTACTGCGTAGTTCAGTAGTTTCTTTACATCAAGAATTGGACTGTACATACATCTCTATTGATTGCAAAGTCGATTACTATACACAGCATTAAGTTCACAAATGTGCGTTGTATATTGTGTTTTCTGTTGATTTGATGAACATTGAATTGAGTTGATTAATTTTTTTTTTTTCTTTGATTTGTTTTCCGTCGATCTTGTTTTCCGTGCTGAGCACCAATGCTACCGACGCCAGGGAGGCAACTCCCACACCTGGACCCTAGCTTTCGACCCATCAACTCATGAACCGGGGACCAACGGCTTTACTTCCCTTCCGAAGGAAGGCGTGATTAGAGATGTTATGCCTCAGAACATCCCGGCGGCGCCGACTGGGATTTAACCCAGGCCTGCTGGGGTGAGAAGTAATCACGCTTACCACTACACCACCGGCACCGCTATCAGTTGATTAATCAAATCAAACTGAATCTCATACGAAATGTAAAACCACAGACAAACAGACATAACACATTGAATATTTCCCACTGTAAAACATCGTTGCTAAAACATTACCGCCATCTGTAGAGTACACTGTGGTGGGCAGCACGCGGAACAGATGGCGGTAGTGTGTAAACGTCAAACGCAAAGGAATTTACTATGCATGCTTGTTCGACGAACCACTTGCGAGTGTTATGTCTGTTTGTCTGAGAGGTCAAATCTTTATTTAATCCCTCATAACAATAAGCGAATTCAATAGAAACTAAGCGATCTTTTCAGCCTCTGGTGGTGAATAGGGGATCCCTCAAAAGAGTTATGAGGGTTAACATTATTGCCGTGAAGCATAGGAAGAGGGCAATATTTTCACTATTTTCACTATTTTCACTCTGCTGATTAATTTGTCCATCGTAAGTGCTTGATTGTGTTAATTCGGATATTTCAAAAATTTGTGAATGGAGTGTAACAAACGGCTTACTATTAAATGCAAACAAAACTCAAGCAATCATATTTAAAAATAGATCAGTAAACATTTCAGATGCTTCTTGCATTATGATAGGTGATACCGCAATAGCATATTCAGATGTTGTTAAGAATTTGGGAATAATAATGGACTCGCATCTGAACTGGACTGCACAAGTAAACAGTGTTTCAAAAAAAGTATTTTTTGGTCTGCATTCATTAGTGCTGTTGAGAGCCTGTACTCCTAAACATATTCGTTTGAAATTAGCTCAAAGTCTTCTAGTTCCGCTGTTTAACTATGCTGATGTTCTATATACATCTACTTCCTCCAATAATACTCGAAAATTACAACTTGCATTTAATGCTGTTACAAGATATGTTTATAAAATTCCTCGCTTTGAACATATTGGCATCAATCACAAGGGGATTTTAGGTTGCACTTATGAAAATTACGTGAAGCTGAGAGTATGTACCCAAACTTACAAAATTCTGAATGAAGGTCCTGTTTATTTGCATAATTTCTTTTCATTTTTGAGGTCATCTCGCTCAAGAAATTTAACACTCGCTAGATGTCGTACAGAGATCTACAGATGCTCTTTTCATCAACGTGCTGCGAAATTATGAAATGAACTGCCTATGAATTGCAAACAAGCTGCCTCATACGTATACTTTAAAAATCAATGTAAACAATTATTTTCGAGACGGAACTGATCATCTCTCAGTGTAGTACGAGCTTTGAGAACACATGTGGTTATTTGTACTACGCTTAATACTTGTATTAAATAAATAAATAAAATAAAAATCGTCATCCAAGTGGAATATTTTGTTTTCTGTATCAATTTTGCAGTGATCCGGCTAGTACTTCCACATATTGTTATGGAGTAAATCAGTTCAGATCTGTAGAGAATCGTAAAATAAGACCACTCCCGAAGGAAATTTGCAATATGTGCAATAAAATATGCATTACTTTGCGTTTTGAAAATCGTTATTATGATATAAACAAATGGTTTGGATGACATTTCCTCTCAAAAACGCCTAGTGCACTCTACATTGATGGTGCATCAAAAGAGCCTAGTCCGCAAATCTTCTTAAGTTCCTCATTCATTTTGACCAAACAACCCACAATTCTCCCGTGCTACAGCCCTCTGTTGCTCCACATGGGTGGAGAGAGGCATCCTCTCACTATTTGCTCTCTTCTGGGGAGCAGTTTATTCTGACGACAGGCGATCCCCCTTTCCTGATCAAAGGGGAGCATTCGCTTATGCTCCCTCGCCATCTCTCGTGCTCTTCTGGACCGCGCTGCTACTCGCAAGCATGTGCATTTGGGAGCACGTAGTGGTGCGGCTCCATCCTATCATCGTCGTCTTCGTCGTCGTCGTCGTCGTCGTGGTCTCCTCACCACAAGCCAACAACAGTTCGAGCAAGAGAGTCGTGCGAGTTTCTGTGTTTCAGTCAGAGTGAAAAAGTCTTGCAAAATGATCACGTCTATCAATGAGTCAAAGTACCGTATCGCGTTCGGTGGTGGTTTGCTGCTGCAGCTGTGCTGTTTGTGATGTGTGTTGTGTGGCCTAGAGATTTGCTGTCAAAGAAAGAAAGGGTCAAACTATTTACAACTCTACAGTGCACTGGATGCTGAAAGTTGCATAGTGATTCGGCTGAAGGCCGTTTGCTCGTCATCGAAAAGATTCTCGTGACTCGGGTTGATTCCGGACTTGGTGGGGCTCGCTGGAGCCTTGTGTTTTTTTTTTCGTTTCGGAGTACTGGGTACCCGCCTAGAAGTCCTGCCTCCGCCGGAGACATATCTAGGCCACACCAATATTTCGCTCTCGCGGGTCGGTCGGTTCCGTCGTATCGCTCGTTCGCTCGTGCGGGATAACAGCCCCGAAAAATTCCAGTGCGACTGAGGCCCGTCTCATAGGGTAAGAAGGCTGCAGTCACTCGGTGGACATCCCTTATCATCTGATACTTGACTCAACTTTAGTTTGAGATTTGTTCTTTGTTACGCTCCCCAAAACCATAAATTGTTTTAAGATTTAAAATATTTTCGTAACTTGCGTCAACAGTTGTAATCCTTGTTCGCTGTATAGCACATTTCATTACAAAACCACTTGGTTGTTGGGGTTGTACCATCGAAGGCCTCTTACCCTACTGCTCACTCACAGCTTAGTGTACTGACTGGTTACTGGTTCTGTGTGTTGTTGAAACTTGAGAGCGAGAGAAAAACGCAGGAGAGACAGCAGCCACCTCGATAATTCGCTAATATTTCGATTACACCTAGCAAGTTAATGGAAGTAGTGATACCGCGGGATTGATATCCGTTTGTTTCTTCTGCAGAGCGCAGTGTAACGCACTTTCAAACCCTCGGAATATTGGCAGAGATTTTGACCATCGTCTCGGAGCTAGTGATCGTCACACGGCCGCGGCGACGGCAGCCTTGAGTTCCAGTCAGCAGTGAAGTGAACCCGCGTGTTACGAGTGTGAGTGTATGTAAATATAGAGGAAACCCAGGCTTGTGGTTTGAAAACAAGAAGAGTGTGAAAAATAGAAGCATGAATCAGGTGTTTACAATCGCAAACGATTCCGTATCAACATTCAACAGTTGCTAGTGTTTCTCGTTTGTGGTTGATGATGCATTGTTGCCCTCGTCGCTAGTATCAGTTGGTTTACGGATGTAAACTGGCTGCAAAATAATCCCCCTATCCCCCCCATTCGTACGCTACCATTGCATAGTTTGTAGTGCTCGAAACAGAAATGACTTGCGTCGAAAGCAAACAGACAACAAATTAAGCCCCAAGATCTCGCCAAGAGCTGTTAGAACGAGGATAAACAGCGAGAGGAAAATCAACATTAATAAACAGGTAAGAAGGGTCGAAAGAAGAATAAATTCTACGAATATTTTGCAAGCTATTCATGCTCACTCACGTGCGGTTTGATGTTATTATGAAAAAGAGGGTTTCTCAGTACCGGGTTGTTTTTGAAGAATGTTAGTATCGTAAAGGAGAACATTATTTAGATTGGATAGTTCCGTCAATTTTTTTTTACTGAAAATAATTCATTTGCATTAGTTTGATTGAAAAGTATCAATTGATTCCTGAGATAACCTTTGAGAAGTTGCCTCCCTGTCATTCGATTGCCGTCAGTGATTAATCACCAATTAGCAATCGACGCTCGTCGGTGATTGGCTATCGATTGCGGAACAGAGATCCACATTGAAAAAAAAAGAGAGAGAAAAAAGAGTTGCCTGTAGGATAAATCTTCAGAGATTGGTTCGAATCAAATTCACAGGAGTTACTTGTGGAACAAATGTATAGAACTTAATTTAAACGCAAGCTAATAGGATTTTTTCTCGGGATAGTTCCACTAGACGTTCTGTCTATATCATGAACGTATAGAATATTATAAATTAATAAATTAATTAATACATATTTTAGTATTAGGGTCTCAGATAGCCTAATCAGTTAATGCACAACCGGATAAAAACAACCATACAATTACAATAAAATACAATGTATTCTATTGTTGACAATTAACCCTACACACTAAGAAAAAATCATGTAAATTTTGGTGCTTTGAGACTGAATTCAGCTCAATCAAACATACTTTTCGGTGAGTAACGAACTTTTCAGTCTCGGAGCACTTTATTTTACATGACATGTTTGTTTACGTCTCATCCTTTATGTCAAAGAGGGATTCCATCACGTGTAAAATTAGGTATTTCTTAGTGTGTATTGTAATTGTATTGCGTTGAAATTTTTATAGTTACGGTAACTAACAGCCCTTTTAGTTAGTAAAAATCTTATTAACGATGGATTCAAAAGATTAAGAATAGAAATCTCGATCTGTGAATCGTATTTTCTTTTTTTTTTTTTTTTCCTGCACAGTTCGAAAAAATAGTGTAAATTTCTGTTCAATACGATGTACATAAATGGAGCGTCACATATCATATAAGTTTATATTATAAGTCGTGTAATGTTCTGAGACATTTCATGAAATGATGCAATTATTGTATACAAATGCCCATCTTTGTAAACAACATTGCTTACAAGTTGCTCGTTTGCGTGAAATGAAATACAAGTTTACGTGAATGTATCTTTCCATCACAATTGATCATTTTGTCAAGCTTCTGCATTCATGTTCCATCAGATGTCACAGTTGTTGTTTGCGGTGACATCTATCGGAAACTACACACAATCTGTTTTCCTATAATTGTTCACAGAGGACACTGCAGTGCAAAACATGTCTGGTACCTCTATATATGCATTTAGATTATTATTCGAAGTCCCTCCTTTTTTACACTTTCTGCACACAAAGTAGCTCACCCCTCACAGAATTTCCCGCCGAATTTTATGTATGGGGCGGGGCATAAAGTATCTTTTGCGCAGAATATGTAAAAAAGGAGGGACTTCAAATGTTAAGGCAAATGCATATATAGATGTACCAGACATGTTTTGTAGTGTCAGGTACTCTATTTTGTAATCTGTGAAAGGGAAATCACAAATCGAGTGTCAAAAAAATACATGGCATGTTGAGAGATTAAGCTCGTGAGAGAGAATTTCTCTCTCAAATTTGAATTTTTTTTGGCTCTCTGGGGACTGGTAGCAAAGCAGGTAAAATTGTATGGGGAAAAATCATTTTTATTTAATTGTAGCTTGTTGAGCATTAATTTCCGGGAAAAAACTGAACGACAAAGCCCCTGACGAATTTCTTTAGGTTGTCGTTCACTTTTTTTGACCTGAATATGCACCGGAGGCGAATTATTCGCACTTCTCTCAATTTCTATATGGGGATTTTTATCACTTCCTACCAGCGGAACAGCGCCATCTATGTGGAAAATGGTCGAACAAAATGATTAATTAAAATTCAGAATTTTTGCTGTGTGAGTATCATCGTGCTGCCACACAGTATACAAGTTCATACATTGGTAACCATATGAAGCTCTCAAACTGGGGAAGTGGAACACTTACACATATTTCAAACTGGAAAGAAACTGAGATCTAGAGTAAATTTTCCAAATTTCGACTAAGAAAAATTTGAAGATTATCAACAGCAAAAAAAAAAATTAAAATTCATACGAGCAAATTTTTCAATTTTATAATTCAAATCATTTTTTTATGAAACGTCTGGAGAATGTGCGCCGGCCATTTTTAAATCTAAATACTTGTGTTGGAGCGATAGAAAGGTAAACTCCTCATAAAGCCAATGACGTAATACCACCGACGTAATTGGCTCTACGGAGTTTCCCGTTTTATCGCACCCACACTTAAGCATTAAGATTTGCAATTGGCCGTTTTCACTTACCCCGGTAGCTCGCTATACACACTTAAACATAACTTATTTTACAATTGACGGAATCCATCTTTGACATAAAAGATGAGACTTAAACAAACATGCCATGTAATATTAAGTGCTCCGAGACTGAAAAATTCGTTGCTCGACGAATATTACGTTTAATTAAGCAATATTTCTTGTATGTTATGACTAAAATTTATGTCAAAATTGACGCTCGTATATGTCACTCTCAGAGCACCTAAATTTACATGAGTTTTTCTAAGTGTGTATATTAAAGATTCTGAAACTTGAATGGTTGCTGATCATTGTAAAATTTGAACTAAAATGGCGAGATCTTAAATCAATTAGTGAATTTGTACTTAAAATGGTATGTTTCTACTATAGACGACTTCTTTTTTTTCTTTTTTATAGAGACTTCCAGCCTTTGGCTGGTTCGTCTCTTGCAGATGACTTCTAAATGTTTATATTTTGTTGAAAATTCATCACTGCTTCTTGATTCCATACTCGCCCTACGGGTTTCATTTTCGTACCAACACATAGGAACGTCGTTGGATTTACTTCGTCATACAGATGAAGGCAACAATTTAATGTTTGAGAACATTTGCGCTCTTAATGGCTTTGTATTGTAGCTTTTGAATTAAAGTATCGTACCAAATTCATTAATTCATTAAGGCAACCATATTTCAGATGAATCGTTAGCATTAGCATTAGCATTAGCATCGAACAAGTTGCACAATATCGTAGGTGGTACGAATTCAAAACTATTAAGAGCAAGACGGATATCTATTACTGGACAGATAGTAAGTAGGAAGTAATTACTATCTCCCAGATAAAGACATATCCCGCTCCAACAGTTAAGGATTGTCCTGGCCACGTCCTTACAACTGGTAGGGATAGGAAAGGTATGTTAGTCCAACATTTACTTAAGAGAGATGCAGAGAACTCTACGACCCCTCATAAATGTCTCGGGAATTTAGGAATTATGTTAGTAGGGAAGGTAAGCCATAGGATACACCCAGTCAGTGTTGCTGGCATATGTAGTTTTTTTTTATTAATGTTGAAATTGCTGTCCGGATCATCTGCTGAAAGATAAGGTTGCTGAAATAAAATGAAAATATAACATAGTGAACTCGCCATCGTTGTCACACCCGTAGCTAATTAAAAGGAAGGAAATATGTTGTGTTTTATCTTTTTTTTCTTCTATTGATTGAGAGAAAAACTCGCGGGAGTGAAAATAATTGTACTACCTCTTCTCCCGTAGGCCCAAAACCTCTATGTCTTTTCAATTTGAATTATAATCAATTAAAGTAAACTTAAGTTCATGTGATGTGTATGTGTGTGTGTATGTGTATTCAATCTAACCCCCACTGGCCAGCAGTGGTATTATGGAAGAAATTTGCTTACAACAATCCTTGATGTAATAATTTAAAGCAAGTTTAGTCCGGGAGTTAGAAAGCGATAGCTCTACTGCAGATCCAGCAACCCATTTCAGAATGCCTGGTAATTCACGTCCATTCCGAGGTTACTTTCACATACAATAAGCCCCGCGTGTAAACACTACCGTTATCATATGAATAATGGTACTGCAAACACACTTCCAGATTTCGAAATGTGATGTTTCGAAATCTGGCGCGTATTTAGTAATATATGGAAATATGCATTTATGATTGATTATAAATCAGATGGATCTCACCAAATTCTGCCTCCGAAAAAGGACCGGTTTGTTCACTCGCGGTAATCGAAAAAATCTTCCGCGTGGTTTTTACAACCCAACACGACATTTTGAATCACATTTGAAGTTTTCCATTTGCACCGAATTTTTGCTTGACACCTCATTCGCGTGCATCTTCCGGAAGGCAGAACGCCAGCACCAAGAAAAAAAAATACCCAGTGAAACTCTTCTTGGGAGGGAGGCAAAGCACCAAAAACAAGCGAAATGAAAAACCGACCGACGCGACACACAGCTATTCGAAACAAATTCTTGTTCCAGATTGTTCACGTTAATTACAATATCACTAAAAAAAAACTTCTTAAGACGTGATAGATCTTAATTTACACTTATCCACACGAAAAAACTAATATTTGTTTGATTTGATACAATTAAAAAAAAATGCGAAAAACAGATGAAATCAGCGCCAGCGAAAACAAAACCAACCGTTCGCGGGCAGAGCCTACTGCGTTTTTTTCATTACTCCATCACTATTGAGAAATGATGAAGTATTCGATTTGTTTACAGTTGTCATTCTTGCATTTATCGCTAGGATCCGAAAGGTCCCGCTATTTATACCCTTCGGAGTGTTGGAACACCCTCCAAAGGCGCGCCCCTTTATCAGTCCAAATTGGATTCCTTAACAACAAAATGAAGGAATGGCACCGATAATGACCATGCATCAGAACCCTGGTATTAACCATTTCAAACTAGGGAACAACGAATAGAAGATTAGGAATCACATAGATGAAGGCTAACTAACTCATCTTTTCCTATCAACAAGGCATAAAAAGTAACTAGAACTAAGAAGTGTTCCTTTGATTACTGAAAAATCCTGTTCCCCTAGTTTAAAGTAGTCAG